TGGAATTTGACGTCACTAAAATTCCAGGAAGTGGCACGAATACCTCCTCACAACTTATGTTCTCCTGATACAAATTTTCAAAATCGTGCTGTGAAATTTCAAAAATCCCGCCTCGGGAATTCTTGGAATTTGACGTCATAAAAATTCCAAGAACTAGCATGATAGATACCTCTTCAAAACTTATGTTCTCCTGATACAAATTTCCAAAATCGGTCGGCGGAATTTCAAAAATCCTGCCCGGGCGTTCCTGGAATTTGACGTCACAAAAATTCCAGGAAGTGGCACGAATACCTCCTCACAACTTATGTTCTCCTGATACAAATTTCCAAAATAGGTCAGTGGAATTTCAAAAATCCTGCCCGGGCGTTCCTGGAATTTGACGATGACGTCATGAAAATTCCAAGAAGTGGCACAAAGAATACCTCATCACAACTTATGTTCTCCTGATACAAATACTCAATATTTTGTTCTTTATTTTTTATTTTTTAAAATTTAGGGCAATTTCTGAGGATCGGAATGACGGGATTTAAAAGTAAATAAATATGCAAATACATGTTTTCACTCATATTTATTTTCAAAAACTTATGTACATCGAATGAGAATTTATTTTATTAATAGACAGATACATTATTAACACTTAATTCTAGGACGGAATTAACATAATAATATGTACATATTAGTGTGCGCTGTAGTACAGGATCTTGTAGAAAGCTAATAAAAATCTGTTGAGAGAATAAAGGCAATGTAGCAATTAATTTGTTCCTGAAAAGTTGAAGAAAACTATAAGTTATGGATGAAAATTATGCTGAGTACATAAAGCGGACGATTGCTTTCTTGCACTGTATTAAATGTCGTTCACATTAAGCTATTTTGACGGATACTTGCATAATCTGAACGTCCTCTTATGCATACTCGACGCAGCGCCATCTAGCAGTGATACGCGGAACTACAATAGAAACTTCGCTGATGGTATATTACCGGTGAAATGTAATCAATTAATTACCGACAGAATCCGGTCGGTACTTTACACGTGTTCATCATAGTTCAACAGTTTGTTGTTAGATGGCGCTATTGACAGCATTTATGGCGGTTTTTTTAAAAGATTGTTTCCTTCTTTCTTGATGTATTTATATGCGTATTATTTTCAATAATTCCTATACTCTATGGTGATCATCAGAGTTATCGGTCAAGATGAGTTCTGTTATCAAAGTCGTCGATCAAGAAGAATTCTATTTGTACTTGTGAACAAACGATTAATGTTTAAAGTTATCGTCGTTTGATCATATTCAATTTTATTTTAAAAACAAAATCGTTCGCTATTCGTTCCGTAATCAAACCTTACTTCAAGAACACGTGTTAAAATCAAATTCAGTATCAAGGCCAATAAAATCAGTTATTTTGCAGAGTTATTAATTTATTAATTACTAAAATATAGGAAGACAATGCCTATGTAAACGGTACATGTAGCGCCATCTGGCGGCAGAATACTCGAACTAACGAAGACTGTGTTCCCGCCGAGTGTACTTCACCCTGTTCGCCGGACAGATGGCGCCACTTGTTTTCGAAAAATTAGCTCCAATTTCAAAACTAATTACGAGTGGTCAATTTGACTTTTCTCAGTAAAAAATTTGCTACGCATGTCTATCTTTTACGATTTAGGACTGCGCAGGGTTCAAGGTTTTCATGAGTGCCTTAGTAAAATAATAATAATAATTTCACTAGTCTTAGTATAATAATTTTAAAATAAAAAAGTTTTAGATCAAGCATTACCTTCAATGTTGTAAATTCATGTTTCCTGCAACCTCGAACTTGTCTTCACAATAACTCATCACTGTTCTAGATTGATCATCAAAAAACCATTAGGATAATATTTCACTGTATTTGTCCTGAATTGTTCATCCTTGAGAGTCAATATCCGTCATGTACTCCGCGCGTTAGAGCAACGGTAGCAACATGTCAGATGCGCCAACATTCTAGCGAGAGAGCTTCGCAATCTTATTTTTCATTTGCGACAGGATAACCTGCACAAACTGACTGGAAGATGCAGTCCGATCTGAAAATGTATTGCACAAATATACGATGTTAACAACGTTGCCGCATAGGCGATGGTGGAACAGTTAGCGACTGGATATCCGTGACAGGAGAGAGTAGATCTAACAAGCAGAGATCTATCGGTGCAGCGTACGTTAATCGATGAACTTTTGCAGCCTACTGAATATTCATATGCTAAAGTTATTGATACCTTTAAATGCAGTTAACGTTTACGAGCTACTTAAGCCACGGTGATTGTAGCCTTTGCACTCGTCCTCTTTGAGGGGACATTTTAAATGGCGAAATAAACTTGCGGAGTGCAATTGAAAATAAACTTTCGGAGTGAGGTAAAAGGTAAATTAAATAGAAGAAAGTGGGCGTAAAATAAAGGTAAATATTTTCGTAATACAATCACTAAGATGGCTACAAGAATGCACCAAAAAGGACACTTCAAAGAGTAGGAATACAAGAGGAGACAAGGAAACACGTCCTAGAGAGAGACAGAGGACACAACCAATTTAACCCCTTCCCGTGCCATTTATTTAACATAAGCGTCAGTCGAGACTAACTATAAAGGGCTCTAACATTAAAACGAACAAAGAAAATTAAAATGTGAGTATTTTATATTCAGGGATCCTTGATAATGCAACTTACATAGTTGGACCTTTCAAGTTGAAGAATGTTCAAAGTTTGAGTATTTGAGCTGTAAGTGCGTCACGAGTGAGACTCGTGAAAGTACGGGAAGGGGTTAAATACCCAAGTCGGGGGTGTGCATAGTGCATTACCATTAAAATAGTCTTTATGCACATCGAATGTCTGAATTGTAAGATAAATAAATGTATCTTCCTACCAGGCATTGATATCTCATTTATTGTCCTTCCTCCTTTACTCCAAATTCTCGGAACCTCCATCGTCGATAAACACCCATGTGTTCCGGACTGCGTTCATTTTACGGAAGTTTCAATTTCTCAATGAAACGACCACGAAAATTGTTTCATTGATGCTGACGAACGAGATAACCGCTTCATTTCCTGGATGATATCAATTAAATATTCCTTAACATTAGAAATATTAATTTTGAACAAATCCATTACTATTAATTTAAGTTTTCTCTGAAACGTAGTGATTGAACGAACCGATCGAAATAATCGAGCTGAGTGGAAATTGAGAGATTGTTTCAAAAATTTCCACCTCGTCATCGAGATTCTCTCAAACCATGAAACCCTTTTATTGTACTATCAGACACTTGCACGTATTAACATAAATTGAAATTCGTGTAAATTTGCATAGATTCTTAAAAATGTCTTCTGTCTGCAAACCTGTCCGTCTATTAAATGCAAAGCTATTATCCATCGACATAAATTTACCCTCCAAGGTGGTTAACTCCACAACGTTATTTTTAAAAAGCTTCAAATTTTGTACTCCATGAATAACATTTTAATATTGTGTCATTTCCGCAACACTTACGAGAGCGAAGCACGAAAAAGATATATATATTTCTTTTCACATGTATTGATACGAAATGTGCATCAGTGCTTATCATCAACGTTCAAGGTCTTTCCGTTTCAAGTAAATATAAAATCGTTGCCAACTGCAATGAGTTGTGCACTTTGCGAATAGGACGACTGGATGTTACGTTCGTAGATCTGCTTACAGTATGACCACAAATATGGTTCAAATTATATGGATTTTGTGAGTAATCATTGTGATAGGAGTATTCAATTAGCGTGAGATGACTAATTGATTCGATTTATAGCGCGTTCGCTGGCACAATTACCGGTGGCGTTTGTAGCATCCTGCACCGTACCCATAATTTCGAGCGGTTATTCGATGCGAACAGGTCTATTACCGAACAACCGCAACTGGAACGATCTGTTTGTACCACTGAACAATGTGAAAAACTTGGTAAGCGAATTTTTGTTTTATAATACCATCAACTATTAAACATTTTTAAATTCTCCTGAAATTATCAAGCGAGTATCGAATGCGGAAATACGTTCAGATGTTACTGAAGAAATTAACGTTAACTTTGTTAAATGTTTTTTTAAAATTTTACTTTTGATATTGAAAAGTTTCTGTAGTATATTACTGCTCTACTTGAAATGATAATGTACACACATGAATATTTTTATAAATAAAAAATAATTAGTAAGGTGAAATGTCACCTTTCTTGCATATGGGTCAAATATACCACCGGAAGAAGACCTAATAAATTTTCAGTTAGTAACTTTGTTCTCTTATCCAATAGCAAAGATGATAATAGATGGCATGAACAGAAACGCGAATCCATGCGATGATTTCTACGAATTCACATGTGGAAATTGGAAAAAACATAACCCTTTACCGCCAGATGAACAATACTGGTCACCGTTAGTTAAAGTTCAGAGAAATGTTGACAAGCGTTTGGAAGGTTTGTAGAATATTAAAAGAAAAATTATTTCGGAATTAATGAAAGTAAAATTACAAAAAAAAAAATAAAATAAAATTTACATTTCCAGAAATAGTAATGAGCGAGCCAAAACCTGACGATCTCTATGCCGTGAGATTTTCCAAACGAGCGTACAAAGCTTGCATGGACACAGGTATTCCTCAAAGGAATATATTCTTGCCAAAAAAAAATCATTTTGTTTATTAATGGAAAACTATCAGTTATATTTTGCAATTAATTTGCAGACGCAATGGACAAAGCAGGACTTCAACCGCTCATATCCACATTATGGAAGGCAGGTGGATGGCCATTGATAATGGAAGACGAGGAATGGGACGAAGGAATATACAAATGGCAATCCATAGACGATTACTATGCTTATATAATAGGTTTAAACACCTTTCACGATTTACACGTTGATGAATACAGTTGGGACGATGATACCATAGCTATAATTGTAAGTGCACCCCCCACAGATAACACATATCGTTATTTTGTCATCTGAGAGCGGTTATATATAGAGAGTTCCTTGCAGCTTCAAATGATACTAATGTTACTTAAGATTCTTGATAATTCTTCTTTGATTATAAGAGCATACAAGAAATTATCCCAAAAAATATAATTTATAGTTTACCTAAAATGTTAGCCCTTTGTAGTCGAAGGTAATTTGACTGTTTGCGAACAGCCACTTTAAAACTAACTAGTTAAAAAGTTAAACCAATTTTTTTAAGGTTATTTCTCTACTAATAATTTTCACTATTGTTTCACTATGTTCATACATCACACGTGTCATATTATAGAATCAGGTAAAAATTATTATGTAAAGAATTAAAAAATCAGTTGAAATTATTGGTGACACCTCTCGAGCGCAGAGGGTTAATAGTCTAAAACTGACTGTCAGACTACAGTCACAAATTCTGTCCTACAATGACTATATTTTTAATAAATTTAATTTATGGTAGTTGTTTTTATCAGAACTCGTGAGTTAAATCATTTACAGTTAGATCGTTTCAAACTGTTCTGATAAATGACAGTAATGTTTCGATGTTTCAGATCAATACTCCCCATTTACCCCCAGATATGGATGAACTTGTAGCTTTAGAAGAGATAGATATGGATAGCAGTGATGAAAATAACGAGAGCGGTGAAGGAAGTCAAGAAGAAGGCAGCGAGGAAAGAGATAAAGATGAAGACGAGGACGAAGACGAGGATGAAGACGAGGATGAAAACGAAGACGAAGACGAAGAAGAAGATAAACTTAATCTACAAAAGAAGACATTCAAGGAACAAGTTAACAGAAAACTGACAAAAAAGGAAAAAGCAAATAAGCAGATAAAGAAAACCAAAATACCAAGTGAACTTTCAAATCATGAAGCTAGGCATCGTATAAGACAAACGCGCAAAGTATTAGAATATAAACCTCAATCTAACAGTATTATAGAATCTGTATTATACGACAATCAAAAGACTAGCAGAAAGTATGAAGATACGAATAATGATTTATATTTCAGTGATATGGATAATAAAGGTAAAATAATAAATGACATTGATATCAATGGTAACGAAGTGGAAATCAGCGAGGTAGAGCTAAATGGTAGTAGTAACGACGACAATGAGACAGACGAAGAAAGTAGCGGTGATGATGAACGAGATGACGAAGATGGCAGTGGCAGTGGTGATAACGATGACGAAGATGGCAGTGGCAGTGGCGATTTCGATGACGAAGATGGCAGTGGCAGTGGCGATGACGAAGATAGTAATGGCAGTGGCGATGACGAAGATAGTAATGGCAGTAACGAAGACAAAGATAGTGGTGGCAGTGACGAGGACTCAGATGACAGCGAAGAAAGAAGACGTATAATAAACATGGAAAGAGCGAAGAAATTCAGGGCGAGATACGCGGAGTATATACTAAACGTTAGCATGGCGCTTGCTGAAGCCAGAGGAGTTCCGATACCCAAAGAGAAACTGAAAAAGGACATCGCTGATTTGGTGCAATTTCAAATAAATTTCTTGAAGGTAATTTTATTTCATATGAAGGGTAAATCATTCAGAGAAGTTTAAATATTTATAATTTTAAACACCAACAATTTTCAATCAATCAATCAATCAATTTTCTGCAACGTATAAATGTGTGCGTTTAATTGATTTTATAGCGAATGTACGAATAAAATATGTTAGTTACAAAATGAAACAGCATCCCTACGACATTTGAAAGCTCTGTAACGCAGATTAGCTGACTTGTCGTATTAGGAAAAGTCTTCATATTAGGCAATTTTACCTTATTGAAGCACCCAACATGACTCCATACTTCAGCTAGTCCATATTTAGATCTTAGTCTGTATTTGTACTACGTCATTTACAAGTGGTCGTTTCTATCGACTGTTTTGAAGTATTGATAAAATTAAAATTATATAAAATACATATTGCACATTTCTACTGATATTTTATTTTTACAGATCATACACTTGTCCGGAGGAAAATTGAAAATAACTCTTGAGACGTTCCAAAAGAAATACAATTGTTTAGTACCTCTGACGGACAACGGAAAAGTAAGAAATATTTCAATCACAAAAACTATTTTATTGCGTAAGTATATGAATTAATTTTTCAGATAAGTTGGATAAAAAAAATACGACATGTTTTTGCTAGTGGAGGAATGGAAATTGATAAAACAGCGCGTGTCGTAATTCCGTCTTTTAGATACATTAAGCATCTTCGGAAGTTGTTGGATAACACACCAAGCAGAATAATTGGTATGCAATATTTTTAAGACTGTCCACAGGGTGTCTCACAACTAGTAGGTACCTGAAATGGGGGGTAGACGTGATTCTGAATAAGATTTCCATAAGATCTCCAATTCTAATTTTCCCAATTTCCATTTTTCCCAATTCTCAGTTTCCCCAATTCCAATTTTTTCAATTTCCACTTTTGCTAATTTCCAATTTTCCCCATTTCCACTTTCCCCAATTCCCAATTTTCCAATTTCCACTTTCCCCAATTCCTAATTTCCCCAATTTCCACTTTCCCCCATTTCCACTTTCCCTAATTTCCACTTTCCCCAATTCCCAATTTTCCCAATTTTCACTTTCCCCAATTTCCACTTTCCCCAATTCCTAATTTCCCCCATTCCCAATTTTCCCAATTTCCACTTTCCCCAATTCCTAATTTCCCCAATTCTAATTCCCCCAATACCCAATTTTTCCAATTCCTAATTTCCCCAATTCCCAATTTTCCCAATTTCCACTTTCCCCAATTCCTAATTTTCCCAATTCTAATTCCCCCAATACCCAATTTTTCCAATTTCCACTTTACCCAATTCCCAATTTTCCCAATTTCCACTTTCCCCAATTCCTAATTCCCCCAATTTTTCCACTTTCCCCAATTCCTAATTCTCCCAATTCTAATTCCCCCAATTCCCAAATCCCTCAACTCCCAAATAACCAAATTCGAAGCTGTCGCTCTCACGTCTGCGCATGCGTAATCCCCTAATTGGTCCGTTGTTTTTCCTTAACAATTCAAAAACGAAGCTCCAAACCCCATTTTTGCAAAGTGAAATCTGATTCAGAATTACGTCTTACCCCCTATTTCAGGAACACTATTACATGAAACACCCTGTACATTAATGAATAACTAAGAAGTAACATACAAATAACTTTATACAGTGAATTACGTACACTGGAATTTCCTTAGTAAAGTATTAAAGACCAGCACAAAGGAAATGAGAGGTTGGTATTATGGTTTAAGGAACGAAGAAGTAACTGTTAAACAGAGGTAACGAAAAATATGATAACATATTTGCACGACAAATAATAAAGACAATAAGGTGACAATTTTTATACAGGAAAGACCTATGCATCCGCGAGATAAAAGCGCGTTACAGTTTAGGATACGAATATGTAAAGAAGTATTTCTCGGAGAAAATCAAGCAAACGGTAAAGATTAGCATGAATATTACAAAAATTAAATAAAAAAATACTCTGACGAGAATTTATATAAAAAATGTCATTCTTTGATTGTTATTCTATGGAATTGACGAAGGCTTTAGATATGATCGACAATATCGAGAAGGAAGTCGAGTATCAAATTAAAGAATCAACTTGGATGGATGCTAAAACTAAACATGCCATCATAGATAAATTGGTGTACCTGAAGAAATTGGTTGGATACCCAAATTCATATAAAAATAGTACTATTATGAATCAACACTTAAAAGGTGTAAGTCTACTTTTTACCTTCAGTGTTTTGTCTTTTGATATTTCAGAGTATAATTGCTCTCGGTTTACCTTTCATTACAGACTCTGGTTTCAAATACTTCTCATTTTTAATTTACGTTCAGGTAATTTTTTAATATTTTCAGCTTAGCGTTAGCCGATCACATTACGAGAACGCTTTAAGTATTATGAGATACTTCAAATGGGAAAGATTAAAAATGATGCTCACGAAAGAAATTCCTCCGCAAGAGTGAGTATTTACGTTTTTAGATCCAGAAGAATTGCGTTTGCAAATATTTAAAAAATAGTTATTGTTTCTTTGATTAAATTATTGATGATGTCAAGAGAAAATTTTTTATAGGATACCATTGGATCCTTTGAGAGTAAATGCCTTTTTCATAACTATTTTTAACGTTATAGGTAAGTTATTAAAATACTATTGCAAAAGATCTGTTAAACGCGTAAATGTATTTACAATTAATTGGAGTTTTCAAGTATCAAGTATATCTATAATCGACACCATGTTATGAAATAAAACTTGTTTCTAAATAAATATTACTGTAAATGAAAACATAAAATGATATTTGAAATTCGATTCAAATACACGACTAATCTTTTGTATCAACTTTGTATAATTGCAATAATGCTGTGGGTTCGTTTGTTCATTTTAGAAGTGACTGCAGCAGACTTTCAGACACCGTTCTTCGATTTTGAGCAACCATGGTATGCACATAACAATTAATATTTTTAAATCGACAATGTTCCACTCATCCAGTACCATAATTTTCTATTGTCTCAAATTTCCAAATTCGGAACTCCACAAATTCCTAAATTTTTGTAGAATCTTGTAGGATTTCTGGGATTTTTTGTATTTTTGGAATTTTGTAAGATTTTTATAGTTTGGTAGATTTTCTCAAAATTCCAAACACCCAAATCACGAGTCCATAATTTCCTAAATTCCCAAATTAAAATAACACAAATTAAGAATCCAAAAATTGTGTAAAAGAAATGTTTTAAATAATATCCACCTTTGTACAGGTACAGCAATTTCGGTGCTATTGGACACATAATGGCTCACGAAGTGAATCACGGTTTCGATATCAGAGGTAAATTTGTAGCATGATCTTCGGTTACAAGATTTCCGTGACACGACGTGTAAACGATGATTTTTGTCAGGTCGTGTATATGACAAATATGGTAAATACATGGAATGGGTACCCGAGATGGCGGAAGCATACGAGAAAAGAGCGGAATGCTTCGAACACCAATTTACCAAATACAGTGTAGTAGACAATAAAACGGGGAATATCCAAATGAAGGTAACCACATTAGGCTAATAATTTATGCGCAGTTTGAAATATAACTTAAACTCGAATAACAACTTTTAACTGTTAGATGCACGAACAAGTGAACCACCTTGTAATAAATTAAGAACGTAGTTGAAATTGGAAAAATAGTATCATTTATCTTTATGAAAATATTTTGCAACAAAATATACTTGCAATAAAGAACATTATATGTAATTTAAAAATTTGTTAAATTTAGTTATTGAATGATTTATAAGTGTATGAAATGTCCCAGGATTACGGAATACGAACGCAAGGTGAAAATATTGCGGATACACTGGGGTTGCAAGCTGCATTCAAGGCTTATTTACGAAGACAACGAGCATGTAAAGAAGTTGACCCCGTGTTGCCAGGATTAGAAGATTTCACTAACGAACAACTTTTGTTCATATCCTTCGCTAGCGTAAGTTCATTTTCCGCTTTTCTAATTTGATTTAACTAATGAGGACAACCATGCAGTTCAGACAGGAAGGATACAACTAGCTAATAAATAATTAACTTTACTATGTAAAAAAATAAGAAGAATATTTACATTTACAGATATGGTGTCAGAACATGTCACCGAGTATGTTACAATTTAGGATACAAAAGGATCCTCATAGTTTGGGCTCGCTAAGAGTGATTGGTTCTGTGTCGAATTCCGAAGACTTTGCTAAAGTTTTCAAGTGTCCAGAAGGTAGTCCTATGAACCCGAAGAAGAAATGTAGCATATGGAAATGAGAATACCCACATCGAATGCTGATATTTTTAACGCTAATTAAAATCGCATTTATGAAATACAAATTACTATAGCTCTGTATCGTTTATGTATGAGTATCAAATGCATAATTCAATTAAGAAATTGTTTTATTTAATCCGATTCCTTACTTCATCCCCATGTATAATATTACAAGTAATATTAATAAATTTGATGTTTCGATATGATGCTCGGAATATTTTTATCTGGATACACTTTGATTTCAACAAAACTCAGTTTACAGTATTTTTCACACTTATAAATCATCCGATCTATCCACGATTAATGGAAGATGGAAAGAAAGAATAGAATTAAAGGAAGATTGTATTTTGGTTACACGTTTGGCTACTGGTGCGCATAATTTCAGAGGTTGGTAGCTGGGGTGATACTGAACAATTTTTTCCTGTACCAAAATGTTGACTGAAGTATAGTTTTTGAATTATTAATACTGATCAATTAGAGCGCGAGAATAGCACGCGTCCGGACGCAAGAGTGATAGCTTCGAGCCTGACGACTGAGCGTGATCGTGAACAAATATATTTTCATCGTGACCGATCACGACTTCACAAGTCGAAGTTTACTTCTGCAAATTTTCATCGTTTGCAAGTCAAAATTTGTAACAATTCGTCTTTTCGGCAGATATTATCAGAACATCCAATGAATCCAAATAAGAGAAGATGATACATAAACATAAAGTCGTAAATACTTAAGATAAAAAATACTAAGCATGAAGTAAATATACTTTATCACAAAGTTATAACAAAGATACCATCATTATAAATAACTGACAATATGTGTTCTCTGCATATAGTATCGAAAATGTAAAAATTGTGGTACATCCACAAATATCATTAATTAACAGGATATTTCCCCTTATTATTTAGAGTGTTAAAAAAATATATTTAGATACCTCACTATTCTAAATTACCTACAGTATTCCAAATATGCTTTTTAAGAGTGGACCACCTTGTACATGTATACGAATTCCTTTATACATCAAGCTTAACAAATGCACCGATTTTGCTGAAGCATAACGTCAAACAATATTTTATTTAAGCCTAGCAGTGGCATTTGTTTTGAACCTGGTGGCATTTGATAAATAAAAATTCCATAAAAAATAAAATAAAATGATGAAGTACCATAAGAAAAAATATTATTTGTTTTTACCAATGTGTTTTGCCCTTTTCATTCAGTACTTCATTCAGCACAGGAACCTACCTACTTCCTACTTCTGTAGGAAGCATACCTACCACCTACACTCCCAACTAATTGCATCTAATTATCAGCTATCTCCAAGAATTATTAATGAACGTAATCATTCACACCAAACGGAAACAAATTCTAAATAAAGTTCCTGGATGCGATATTGAGACATTGCATCTGCAGAATCACAAGGGCAGAGGATGCACATCTATCTAATTTCAAGCCAGGAACTTTATGTCGTAACATCTTATCGGGTCATATCGCGCACAGTTTCAGGGTTACCTCGATTTCACGGGTATAAAATTGACAGCCATCGATTTTCCTGCCACATTGTGTGGCATAGAAAAGTGGCTGGCACGTTAGAAGTCCGACTTCTATTTTCACGAAGTGCGGCTTCATCATGTTACGACTTCTGGTTTTGTAAGTAAACATTTATGTTAAAACGAAACAACTATATAATTTATCGAATATTATAGATTATCAAGGATAATTTATCAAATTAATTTTGTGCTTTCAGAGCGTCTTTAGGCGCTGTTATAAGCGCTAGCTTTTTACCTCATCATTTACTGGGGTACCCTCGCAGTCTGCAAAGTTTATTTGGCGCCAAACGCGAAGCGGCTGTTGAGAAAAAGGAACGAGAAGTATGCAACAATACGGAGTGTAGAACAATCGGTAAGCATATGTTTATTCGAAAATACTGCTCGTTGCAACTTTTGCACGTTATGCTAACTTTGATGCTTTCGAAATATCCACCCCTTTAAAAACTAAACAAATCTGGAACAGACCATGAATGCACATAACTTGTTATGTAACCAATCAAAATTTAATACCTACATTATTGTTCACTATTAAATGTTTTCATCGAGTTTGATTTTACGAATTTTTTCAAATATGTGAAGCAGATTTTTCAGATATGCGATTTTAAGAACTTTATTAAAATGATTTTTGCAGCAAATTTATTGAAGGATAGTATGGACGAGACCGTAGACCCATGTGACGATTTTTACGAGTTTGCATGTGGGAAATGGTCAAAGGGTAATCCTCTTCCTGAGAATAAAACCGAGTGGAGTTTATGGGCTATGGTTTCGGATAAGATTGAGAATCAGGTTCTGTGTATGTATAACCTTTTAATCAGTCATTAATTTGCTTCTGAAAGAAGTTACATCTTTGAATTTTTTATTGTTTGCAGCGATCATTGAGGCTAAGCCGAAACCCAGTGATCTTTTCGCCGTGAAGCTTGCTAAAAAGTGGTACGAAAGTTGTATGGACACAGGTATATGAACATCATTAATTATTTGAAAGTAATCGATAATCTTAAGATATTTACGCTGATATTATTAAAATTGAAATAATTTTTATTTTCAATTGATCGAGCATTTATATTTAATTCAATGCCATTCGCTGAAAGATTTATCGAACTTACATTTTAGCTTTTTAACGTTAATGCAAATCACATTCATTTTTATTGAGAAAGAAAAACAATGTAATATGTTTTGACTACAGAAATGATTGAAAAAAGAGGAGCGGAACCAATAATATCCACTTTGTGGAGACACGGAGGATGGCCACTGATTATGGAGGAAGGCGAATGGGATGATCGCATATATCACTGGCAAATAGTCGACGACCATTTTGCTCGTTTGTTAGGATTTAACTCGTTTCATGACGTATATTACAGGAGTCTCACATACGGAGGCAACGAAACGATATTGGTAATTTAATCGAATTTAATATCATATTAGTACAAGCTTAATAACTTGCACTTTTCATGAGTCTAACTCGCAGTCATACTTCGTATGTTTTAATATTGTAGCTGTGATTAGTTCTGACTGACCTGACAAATCATAATGTAAGGGGTTATTGTCACGAAGATTAACTGAATGTTTCAATAGGACTAAAGTTGATTCAGCATCTAACAATTTTCTTTCTATGAAATTTGCTAAACGAACGGCTTACCTCGAGTCCTCGTTTCGCCTCGATTAACGCGTATTCGCCATATTTCGAGAACAAACGTGGACGCATCTGACCAAAAATCGATCAACCGCTCACATTTCTTCACTTTCGTTACGAATTATTGGGAAAGATTTAAAACGAGAGAAATTACATCTTTAAATTTATTTTGTTTAACTTAAGCCTATCAGAGTGGTCAAATGACAGTTTAAGTTTAACCCCTTGCGCTACTTCGACGAGTCTTACTCGTGACTCGTACTTCGTGTTCAATTTTACTCGAATTAATACTCTTCAATTTGGAGTTCGAGTCCAATTATTTGCATAGATTGATACCAAATTGACGTAACATTTCAACTTTCTTTATCTTAATATTGTAACTGTGATTAGTTTTGACTGACCCGACAAATAAATCATAGTGTAAGAAGTTAAATTTGAAGAATATATAATTAATGAATAATTTCAATAATATGCATCAGTATGGCTATTTGTATGATGGTAATAGTAAACGATTTAAGTGAATATTATTTTTAAACCTGAGAATAAATCGACCATTTATTTTATCAATTTCTTCATAAATCTATCAGAATCCCGAACCGGCTCACTGTTTCACGTTGCATGTTCTTGCGATGTTCCAGATCGAAACAGCTCCTTTACCACTCGGTCTACGGAAAGTATTAGATGTCAATGCTGCACTTGACGATAACGACAGTATTGATGAAAAGAACGAAAGCGGAGAAGGTAGCCAGGAAGCGGGAAGCGAGGAAAGGGGTAAAGAACAACAAAAGAAGAAAGAGGAAGAAGAAAACGAAGAAGAAAACAAGGAAAGTGAAAACGAAGAAAGTGAAAATGAAGAAGGTGAAAACGAAGTATCTATAAAAAGCAGACGCGTGATCAAAAGGAAAAATCACAAACGACTTGGTCATGGCAGACACGTCTACAAAAAGGGAACGAAGAAAAGGACAAGAAGGGATATAGAAAAGAAAATTGTGCATCGATTATTGCATCAGTTGAAGAAGGCGAACAAAGGAAAATCGAAGCATCACATTTCTATCAGTAAATCGCACGCGAAAAAGCAGAACCACGAAAGCAAGAAGAAACTGCATGGAAAGATGACAAAGGGAAAGAAACGCCTGGGCCACGGTAAGAAGAATAACAAAGCGATGAAGAAACACGTTCACGAAAATAATTTGAAGAAAAAGTTGAACGTTCATAATAATCACGCGCAGAAGAAGATTAATCACAGGGTTCATCATGTTGCGAATAAAATGAAATTAGCAAACCAGAAAAAATTAATGGGTAACGGCACGGAAGATACTGACAATGACATGGATAACGATATCGAGAATGATGAAAAAGTGGACAAGGATGACGAGACCAAAAATAATAGCAAAGAGGAGAATACTGAGAATGAAGAGACCAATGATGATGCGGATAATGACGTGGATAAGAACGACGACGAGGAAGATGAAGAAAACGAAGAAGATAACAAGGATGACGCAGAAGACGAAAACGATGAAAACAAGGATGACGATGTAGAAGAAAACGATGAAAACAAGGATGACGATGCAGAAGAAAACGATGAAGATAAAAATGATAACGAAGAGGACGAAGATGAAACCAATGACGAAGAAAATGAAGATAAGGATGAAGAAGAAACTGAGGAGTCTGAAGAGGAAGTTGACTTAGAAGAACTGAGAGCAGAATACAAGGAATTTATGCTGAATGTTTCGTTAATACTTTCCAAGGCCAGAGGAATAGAAATACCGAAGGAAACATTGATGAAAGATATCGACGAACTGTTAGAATTTTCGATTAAAATTGGAGAAGTAAATAAATTCCTTTATTGTACGATAGTAGAAAATATTGAATTATAGTGACTGAATACCTTTTTCAGCTTTCACTCAAAGACGAGGAACCTGTGAACATGACGCTTCGTGAATTTCAGGAAGAATATGACACCTTGAAATCTACTACGCGCAATGGCAAGGTAGGATGTTCTAGCGGAACTTGTGATTTTGGTATATTAATGTTCTGTTTGGTTATGTTGATGACTGGATAGGGAATTTGCATAAAATATCGGACAGGATAATCCAGATTTGTTAACGTAATTAGATGTTGATTAAAAATTTAGAAATTTGGAAATATTTCTGAATGGTGAAATTTTGAGGTGGTGAAAAGATGGTAAAATTTTTAAATGTTGAAAAATTCAAATGGTGGAATCTTCAAATGTTGGAATCTTTAAATCTGCATGTGTTAAAGCCTTCAAATCTTCAAATGTTAAAGTCTTCAAATTTTCAAATCTTTAAATCTTCAAATCTTCGAACCTCCAAATTCTCAAATCTCTAAATCCTCAAATCTCCAAATCCTCACATCCTCAAATCCTCAAATCCTCAAATCCTCAAATCCTCAAATCCTCAAATCCTCAAATCCTCAAATCCTCAAATCTCCAAATCCTCAAATCCTCAAATCCTCAAATCTCCAAATTCTCAAATCTCCAAATCCTCAAATCTTCAAATCTCTACATCCTCAAATCTCCAAATCCTCAAATGTCCAAACAATGTATTAACTACAAACTATCAAAACAAAATATAAAAACAATATTAAAAACGTTTAGATAAACTGGGTGAAGAAAGTGCAAAAGTTATTCGCCGAGGCAGGAGTGGACATAGAAGACGACGTAAATATTGCGATATCGAATCCCAAATATATCAAAGAAATTCATACGCTATTAGATAAAACTCCTAGTAGAACGATCGGTGAGTTTAAGTTTGCAAACTATTATACTGTTTGAGTTGTATGGAATTGGACAACAATTGCACACATTTGTTACAGTCAATTATATTCACTGGATGTTCATTAGTACGGCAATAATGGCTGGCCCACGAGAACTTAGATCACTGGCTGAGAATTGGCTTGGAAGACGCATGCATTTTTCATCGAGGTAAAATTTAATGAACCTAATTACACAACATCTAAACAGTCTAATTTGAGCAAATTAATTTTGAATTACTTTAATTTGATAAATGAAAACCATACATTTATTTAGTTAAATAATATTACTTAACAATATTCAAAATTTCAATAGACTACATTTTTATGTCACAACAATTTACAACAAACGAAAATTGCTCCAAATCATTAACGCACTGTGTTATTAATATCTCGTACTCGTAAAGGGAGAACATAAGAGTATCTAATAATTTTACAAGAATTCTTTAACATTTTCTTTTGCTTCTGTAGAAAGTCAGAGTGCATACAAATGGTGGATTTAAATGACATCGTAGCCTACGAATATGTGCAACAGTATTTCTCAGAGGAGACAGCGAAAACGGTAAGGATGACACGTTACGTCTTGTTATCATGACAGAAATATTTTCAAATGATCATTTAAAAGAGATCTCTTAACAACGCGCATTGTTTCACGTTAAAGGCTCGAGATATGATCGATGACATTCAAAAGGAGGTCGAATATCAGATCAAGGAATCGACGTGGATGAACGACGACACCAAACATTTCATTTTAGATAAATTGGTGAACATGAAGAATCTTGTTGGTTATCCAAGCTGGTATAAAAATACCACGATGGTGAAAGCATACTTCCAAGGGGTAACTTTACTTTCACTCGCTAATTTCCAAACTTATTGTTCCGAGCTGAAACAGATTAAATTTTTATTTAACTAAATATTTAAATACGATTAATTTAACTGCAATTAAAATTTATACGAAATGTTATTTTTAAGAAAGCTCAGATTTAAAAGATCGAGTTTAATTCAATATTTTTGTCTGACTTTGTTTATCTATTATACAAAAATTTGTTTATGAGGCTTACGGTGGAAAGTGAGTTAAAATATTACAATCAATGAATTTTGTGATGTTTACAGCTCACAATCGGACCGTCGTACTACGAGAACGTGTTAAATTATGTCAGACATAAGAAATGGAGAAACTTACGTCAGATTTTGGAGCCGATAGACACATCGATGTAAGATTTTTAATGACAATCCTGTAACTCAGCCCGAATAAATATTTTCAATACGTAATTGTTTACAGCGAATATTTGGATCCCTTGATGCTGAACGCATTCTTCATGCCTACAGAAAATTCTATTTGTACGTATAATCATTTTTATATATCCGTCTTTCAATTTTATTACGGTGACACGCATAATTACCTGACAGTATGACAAGTAATATTATTTATTTAATTCAAGAGTTTTTACAAACATAGACTTTAATCACAGTATTCAAGGTGTTAATAATATCATAATCCGATTTCTATGCAGCTATAACAGCGGCTGATTTCCAAAGTCCATTCTTCGCTCTAAATCGACCATGGTAAGTAATTAACTGTTACAGAAAATTATTTCGTTATTGACAATGAAATTTTGTCCACAGGGCTGTCAATTTTGGAATTATCGGTCTCGTCATGGGTCACGAAGTGAATCATGGATTCGACGATGAAGGTAATTATTTCCATTCCAACTTTATACCAAGGCAATGAAGTTATAGTATCTTCAAGATACAATGAACAAGTAATGAATTGATTGATGATAGGTCATCTTTACGATCACGGAGGAAACTTAATGGAATGGTTGTCCGCAATGGCTGATGCTTACAATCAAAGAGCAGAATGTTTCGTCGATCAATTTAACCGATATAGTATCATTCAAGGGGAAAATTATACGATCGAGGTAAATATTTTAGTTTAGAGACGCAAAATATTTTCGCGGAAAATGTCGCAAAAATATTGATTGATTAATTAAATAAATTTCGAATTATTTACCAATATTTAAATTTAAGAAGAATGGAATTATTGTTTTCAGTAAAGTGAATTATATTATAATTATATTATTGAGTGAATTATTAATGTATGTTAACTATGTTAACATTGAATGTTACAGAACTATGGCAATCAAACAGCAGGTGAAAATATCGCTGATACAATGGGTATGCTAGCTGTGTTCAGAGCTTACAAACGACGACAACGGGAATGCGGAAATCCTGATCCAGCTTTACCGGGATTAGAAAAGTTCAACAACGACCAAATTTTCTTCTTGTCGTTTGCCAACGTGAGTATCTGCGATGCTTTTGCAAATTACAAATAGTTCGGTTAGTAATTTAAAGTATTTAACTGCTCAAGACAATTTGGAATTTGGGAATTTGGAAATTAAAAAATTTGGAACTTGCTAATTTAAGAATTTGACAACTTTACACCAAATCAATAGTTCCAATAGACAAATCAGTAGTACCTGTAGGTATTTTGTATTGACTGAAGGCCAATCTGACATATTAGGAACCCACATGATAATAGACTGAATCAAGTTGTCTCTTACTGACGGTTTTTCTTTTACAGTTATGGTGCGAAACCATAGATCGAGAATCTTTGATACTCAGCGCCAAATACGACGTTCACAGCCCAGGACGTTTGCGAGTAATTGGTTCGGTATCGAATTCAGAAGACTTCGCTAAAGCTTTCAATTGCCCGGTTAATAGTCCTATGAATCCTAAAAAGAAGTGCAACATATGGGTGTAATTCAAATAATATCGAAACTTCGAATATTTCCACGTTTCTACTCACCGTTTGAACATTGATATTCTACTAGGTAACAAAATATAGTACACTATTTGCAAATTATATTTTTTTAATTATTTCAATGAAATCCTTCAATAATTTCTCAAATATCCTACCCTTATACTTACACCATATTGTATATTTATTAAACAAATATATTTTATATTTTCTGTCAAAGATTAACATCATTTAACTATAATTTTTCAAATTTTAAAAAGTAATATACGATTATAATTATCCATCATCGAGAAGTCAAGATTTGGAACATTTCTTTATGGTACAACAGTTACTATTTTAAATACCACTTTGTGGTATGTTTATTTCTAAATATGTTGGTTATTAAATATTAAAAATATTCTAATATGATTGATTTCATGATTACATCACGATCAAGTTCAGAAGTTGAAACGCCGATAAATTTTACAAATAAAGTTATGACAGTGAACAATTCTGAATGCAAAATAATTCTTAGCATGATATAAAATATCTTAGTATAAATATAAAATATAAAATATCAAATATCAAATATCAAATATCAAATATCAAATATCAAATATCAAATAAGTAACACCATAAAATTAACAAAATAATTAGCTATCCAAGTAATATCCAAAACTATGAAATAATAAGATTAAACATTTAAAGCTTTAATTCTTGTCATTGAGTATATCGGTAAATCCTCTTTCAACGTTATTCTGTATAAAGCAATTAATTTAACCTTCCATCTTTTGGGATTCCCCGTTTTTATATACCTTTCCATAAGTTTTACTTTTTATCGAGTTCTGCCTTGAACTCCATATTACAAGAAAGAAGAAGGATTTTACATTGGCCTCGAGGTAGCAGCCGACGCTAGACGCTTTGATGAGAGACGATCACGAGCGATCGCGCAAACAAAATGAACTATAATTCTTGATTTATACACGTTAACGGCGGCTAACGTAATTTCACCGGCTTCAAGTACAAGAGCCTTCATTCGAAATATTGCTCAACGCAAGATCTTCGAAATTAACCTTTGATCTCGGAACGTTCTTTCAGCCGACGTATTCAAAAGAACCATTGCGTGATCTCTTGAATCATTAATTGAATATAAAAAAATTACTTTCTCTGTTAATATCAGGAACAAGATTAATTTTACGATTATACATTAATTAGTACCTACGTATCTTTTTCTCATTTTTAGACAAAAAATCAGCATTCTAATGACTACCTGGAAAGACAATTGCAATAATTAATTTCGACTCAAAAAATACTGAAAAATTATTGTGTATGAAGGAACTAAAAGTTATTAAATTATTAGAGATTAATTTTTGGTCAAAAGAAATGAAGTTTGCATTTAACAACTAAAAAGTTTATATCAACGAGTCACAGAATTCACTGCTGTCGGAATGAACACCGAACATCGGCAGTATTTTATAAATCTACGTAAACAATTACTGCAATGCTACTCAGAAGAGTAAGGTTTAGAAGAGGATGTTGTAACACAATAGTCAAAAAATTTTGTTATAAACAGACCCTCAACTATGTTATTTATAATGTACCTAAAGCTGCAATATTTCATAAAATAGACTTATGGAACAGTCAGCTATTTAACTATAACACATAGTTGTTATATGATAACTATACATGGTTGTTACATGATATTTATACTTAATACCCTAAATCTATAAATGTGGTTCTCCAATAACTTGCAAAAGAAATTGAAAAGTCCTGCGTGGTGCTCAAAATGTTAACAGTCGAAATGTGGTATCACATGTAGAGAGTATGTAGAAAGATACTGTTAAATTTTCCCTTAGTAACAATTAAAAGGAGACTCCAAAAGACGCTTAACTTTGTTTCGTCGAACTGTGGTATCACAGTATGTAGAAAAATACTGTTGAATTTTTCCGTGGTAACAATTAAAAGGAGAATCAAAAAGATGCATAACTTTGTTTCGTCGAACTGTGGTATCACGGTATGTAGAAAAATACTGTTAAATTTTCCTGTGGTAACAGTTAAAAGGAGAATCCAAAAGACGCATAACTTTGTATCGTCGAACTGTGGTATCCCAGTATGTAGAAAGATACTGTTGAATTTTTCCGTGGTAACAGTTAAAAGGAGACTCCAAAAGACGCATAACTTTGTCGATAATAAGTCATCGGCATTATATCAGAAGCGTAAGCGCCTAACCGCATTGCATCGTTAACGGCACGGGTGTTGCAATTCGGTGAGACAGTTGTAGATCGATGTAGGGACAGTAAATTAGATCAGGCAAAGGAACATTACCTAACTGTAGCACGAGCGTTCATCTTCAGGCCTCCAACACTTTCACAGATCAAATAGAGAAGTGGTGAAACTGCGCGATTATACTGATGCATCGAACGGGTATATATCGCATTTGCTCAGCCAGAGAAAGCACGCTCTGATTCATCGAAATAAATGGTTACAGTTTTAGAACGGATGCATCCTATTATAATGTGCATATCCACCGATAAACTATCACTCTCGTCGATCGATCGTGATACCGTGATAACGTGCTTTGAATTGCTAAATTTGTAATGCGCATTCGTTGCTTGGCTGCCGCGGATGTCGTTGCGCCGTTCGTCCTTTTCGCTGTTTCTTGCACAACAGCGTCTGGGTTGCATAAATAACGGGGAAAGAGGGTTGAATTATTTCGAACGACACGAATCTTCCGCGTTGGACGGTATTTTGACGGGGGATCGTAGACGATGATCGATCGTTGTCGAGATTAATTAAACGGTAATCGAAGCTCCTTCGCGCGTTCAGCGTTGTGGAAACCGACGGTGATCGCCGATACGAATTTAATTTGATAGAATAATTGACACTTTGATTGCCACGAAACATCGATATTAAGATCGTTCTGTTATGAAACTTACAATTTACCGCGTTTAACAGCACGGATGTTATTTCAATTTTGTCTAACTTTTATGGACTTCCTTTTTTAATACATAATGAAATGTTGGAAAGTTTTTTTTATTAATAATAACTTGGTTATGTAATTTGGTAACCATGTCTTTTAATTCGGTTATTACTTTTTATTAATAAGAACTTGCAGATTATGGAATGGAGGATCCAAGTTAGGATAAGTTAGGTTAAGGTTAAATTGGAATTTAGGTTAAGGATTCCATGTCCTTTTCCACGGATATGAGGCTAAAAAATAATAAAAGTATTTCTACCGTATTCATTGCTAAATAATAAATTTAACTTTTAACTTTTTATTAACGGTAAGAAGCTTTGACTTCTAGTAGCATAATTTAATAGCTACATTTCTGAATAATAATAAATGCAATGTTTTTTGACTTTATGTTAATAATAACAATAACCATATTTAGCATCGTAAACTTATCAAATATATCATATGTTATATTAAATTACAATTTCACACTTCCATTTGCGATTTGAAAATACCAATTTTACTGGTATTTCGAATAAACACAATTTTTTTAACACTAGAACTATCAAACCGGTTAAATGACCGCCCCACAAGTTTCTTATTATAAGGTACACATTTTATTAAAAAACATTCCTTGAAATAAGTATTGATTTTCAACGAGATAAAGAATGTGTGTACTAATTTATGTTTGATTATTGTTATTCATAATAAAACATCATCTAATTATTCATAGACGTCATTATTTTAAATATTTATTTTTCAACTTCATTTTTAATTTGAAACCAAGTACATGTCGGTTTAGTGTTAAATTATTTAACCTCTGATTTTCGTATGCCGCAAACAGTTGTTCCTGCTATGAAAACGAAATAGCAAGAAGAAAGTAAGAAGAAATAAATATTACTGATTAGCAGATTGAACGTGCTGAGAAAAAGCTGGAAAATCGTAAAACGCTCAAAAGATAGAAATGATTGCAAGGAACTGCGTGTACAAAGAAAAACATACGTGATATAATGAGCATAATAAATTACTCGTTTGAAGAGTACAACAACATCGCGACGAAACAATCGGACCACGTAAAACAGGAAAAGTTGCACGCGTAGTAAACACGTAAGGCAGAGCAATTGCTTTACGTAACAGTTATCTCCGAAACTAATTTGCTATCTTTCCTCGTTGACGCGCCGCTATCCTGATATTATCATCGGAAAAACTATTAAGCAAGTTCCTAGAGTTAATTCAACCATTCGTGACTCCTCCGTTTATTCTTGCTCGTTTATTCCCTCTACTTTAAGCGCGATAACCATTGCTTTCCTCGTGCCACGTGCAGCCATCAACTTGGATAAAACATTTAGCAGAGAAAAGACTTTCGGAATAGTTTGTATAAATGAATCAATAGAGAGAACATAGAAATTTTCTATTAAATTTTCATTCGTAACAGTTTAATAGTTGCGATAGTTCTGTTTCTTTTTGAACGGAGATCAACATCCACCTCGGTGATGGTCATTTGTTCTAAGACAATGAAATGCTACCCACCAGTTTTTCAAGAACAATTTACATTTCGTTTAAATCAGTTTACATGATTTTTATTTTAGTATGCCTCAAAGTACAATTTGATTTCAAAATAGAAAATTATGGATCCTGGGTGAATCTTACGAATATTATGATCTGTGAGCAAATTTTATACGTGTAATCATGTGTTCATTTTGTGTCAAATATTCGAGAGAATTTTATTTCTTTTTCAAAAACAAGTAATTAATAATACATATACGTTAACGTCGCGTTCATTCTGTAGTAAAATTAAAAAACGATTTGTGTCGTACGATTTTGGCTGTGACTCACTATGACTACCTTCATTTATTAGTAAATATATACATTTATTAACCAGATCAAATGGGTTTGTAGATATCGTATAAATTTGCCAAATTAGCGCTTTTATCTCTAAAAAAGCCGATCTACAAAATAGTTTCTGTTAAGATAGCTCGATTCTGTAACATCCGAAGGCAATTTCATAATAAAGTATATTTACGACCCAACAATCTGTTCGTTCGAATTCGAAGGAAATTTCGTGTGAGATGCATCAACGACACGTGAGCACCGGCTTTATCAAGCATTAAAACAGTTCGCCTCCGGTCATTTATTAAATCTGAATACTCGCGGCGTTGTTGCGCGATGCAATTTATGCACGAAGAATCCTTCGTGTCTCGCAACGCGCCACGGACCGTAGCCGATGTATAATAAAACGGACACGACGAGATACAATCGAAACTGTTCTAAACCGATTAAGACGAATTTCAGGATTCTCGAACACTATAAATCTCTGATCGTAAAAATCATAGGTACCCGCAGCGCTATCTTGCTCGTGTACGATGAGGTGCTGATACAATAAACCTGTGACGCAATCTTGCATAATGTATCCCTATCTGAACCAACATCCCACGTTACCACCACCTGTCTTCAGCACGAGTTCACTGATTGCACAAACCTCCTGCTGCATCCAGGATACAAACGTGTGTACACATTGGACAGTTGAATCCGTGTCTGCGTGCCCTACTAATTTCCACACGCGACATTTTTCACCCGAATCGAGATTAATTGATGGACTGAATTAATTGTTCCCCGATGGAATTCGTTAATTTATGCAACTACGTTGGCATATTATACTCGTTCAAATATATTTCTTTGCAGGACTGTTGACGACGAAAATGATAACCATGACAGTAGCTATTTGCTTTTTATTAGTTACATAATATTCTGAAACCTTAATTAATGCTCTGTGAATGGTACGCATAAATAAAACAGTATTATTACTTTTATGAATATTTCAGAAATATTTATAGTTCCCCTCAGGCTCGCGTGTCTTAAATTGTGATTCACTCTATAAAAAATTAACGACGTTGATAATAATATATTTAATAGTAATTAACGTTGTCGCGACTTAAGATATATAGTTACGTTTAAACTTGTAAAAAATTCCTTTTATCCAAAATAATGGTCTCTTGGTGCCACGAGCGTTATTTACGGACGTGACTTTATTACAAATAAAATTCATTAATGTTTACAATAATGTAAAATGTGGAATCGTGAAATTGAACATTTATAATACTACGTAAATAGTAGTTTCAGTAGTACGTTATAGTAATGATTTCGTTACGTTTCGAACTCTAATTATAATAAAATCCTGAGAAGGAAAACGGGTCATAATGATTGGTTAAGTATGTTGAAATTGACTATTTCTGTCATTACCATGTCGCGTCAAACTTTTAACGTTTCTAAATCGAGCGTTCTATTTGTAACAAGTATTAAATCGATCGTAAAACCCTCAAGTCAGATTAATTACGGTATACAATGAAATTGAATTTCTTGAAAATTTACGGCCTGTATGATCGTAAAATGAAACGATTTCTTAGTTATGCAACTAGAAGATGTAATTCGTATAATTTGATGTGTATCGATATACATATTGGATCATTCATTTCGCTCGCTTATGTGTCCATAACCGTATGCTAAAGGATGCGATTAAAATGCATCGAACTGATCAGAATTCACGTATGTACATTTTAAGACGAAGATGTTCTTAATCCCTTGATGTTTCAATGACGCGTACTTTGTAAAAAACGCATGAGAAAGTCTCGCTCGCAGAAAGTACATCGTTGCCTTAACCGAGCAGGACATAATAGGTTTAATTGCCATCTCTCCTTTTCGAGTCCTCCCTGCATGAATTACGCGATCCTACTTTTTACAGAATCTTTCGTCTCGTGCACATAGATGGTTCAAATTTTTTATTATCGAACGTGAATAAGAGGCATGCTCGCTCTATCGTGAACATCTTCAAAGTTCAAAGGTCTTGCGACGCAAACGTTAACCCCAGACGTGTGTTGTACAATGTTCTACACGACCAACTTTAATTTCAGCTGTAAATCAACCGTTGATTCGAATGATAAACGATCGATGGAACGAGTATTTTCGTTGGTATCGAGATTACATTTCGTAGCTATTAGTTCATTTTAACTATGCAGTAAACCGTGAGTGATTTCTAAATCTGAACAGATACCTATGGCTGGGATGTTCGTTAAGTAAACGCTCATCAACGTAGAAAAAAAAGATGATTGTAAAGCGAGCGCGCAAGTTAATAGACTACGTTATAGTAGCGCGTATTAACAGATTTCGAAATCGAAAGTGTAAGGGAAAAGAGGATATTACGCCACGTAAAAATTGGACTGTATCAAATCCATGACATTCATATCGAAGGCTATTTATCGATTGCGAAATTAGATGGATGATCTCGAAGAATACACATTTGGGATCAAGCGGTGATTAACAAAACATTTACCAAGTGTACAAGTCATTCCGTTGCGTAATCAATTAAATCCCTATTTTATGCTCGAGGAGTTTAGCCCGAGCCGGACGGAGAATTAAAAAAGTTCCCCTTACTCTAGTGAGGTAAGTTTATATTTATAGCGTTATCGATTTTACGACCAAGTTGCAACGTACCAAAAACTGCAAATTATGGTATCTCCTAAAAATTACCCTTCAATTTGAGCCACGAGTAAATGAAGCACGGTTCCCTCGAGCTCCCGATTAATTGTCGCTTGGGCGCTGCTAAATAACAGACTAGCTGCTAATTCGATAATTACCTATCGTAATTAGTGCACACGCTTTACGTTGCTTAATGTCTCGTGTTTCGAGGAAGGATCACGAGGCATCGAACAATTTCGTGAAAGTTCCGATGCGAGGACGAGCAGCATTAATCAAACCGGTTAACGAAGACGAGCGATCGAAGTTGCCATCCCCTAGAAGGTCTGTATCCTTACGATGTCCTGCATCCTTGTTCGATATGCTCGTCCATCGATGAGATGGTAGGAGAGCGATGCTCGAAGTTAATGATGCACCGCATTGCGTTACAATATAGGATTCGTAACCCGTGAAATATGGAACGAATCCGTACTCTAGGTGGCTGCTTCGGTCCCACTCTTCTTCACCATCACTACCTACCGTCACCGACTGATTCAACACCACCGTGACACAGTTACAACGTGCCACGCTGTAAATCCTACCGCTTGCACCAAACCATGATCTAGAAACACGGATGAATCCTGGGATATATAAAGCGGATTAGAACCAAACTTTGTCATTCCCTCGACACCGTCCTACGGTGGATGGTGTACACTGGCCGAAAAGATAGACCAAAGGTAGAAGACACAGCCGTACCTGGCGCAAGCACCTCGCGTGATCCAAAAGGCTCACCTTCTCAAGGATAAACGAGGGAAATAACGGTGACGAGATTTTATTGTTCGACGAAAGATCCATCGCTTCACCGCCATGTCTAAGGTGAGGAAACTCCCGGGCCACGAATAACAGGGAAATTATATCTGTTGCAACTGATATGCATCGTATAGGAAGAAGCTTGCGACGAGATTGTTCGTACCTCGGAACGTCGAGCTATTCTGCCTGCAGTAATTGCACAACGCGATATGAACTCTGTGTTTGAGCACGCGAAACGATTTCGTGTTCTCGGTATTCGCGAGAGAGTGAGGAATTTCGGTACAAATTATCGTAAAAAAAAAGGTTTATTGCATGCACCTGAAGAAAATTAACTGCTGCTCTTATTCGAGTATTCGCTGAAACACAGTAAGATGAACAAGTAGGAAATTTCGGCACGAATTCCAATTTCGAGGAATTAATCTTAAAATAATCGTGATAATTTCGACTAACAATCGCATCATGAACTTATTTTTTATCAACGTATCGATCATTTGTCTAAACAATATATGAATGTAAATTTACAGATTGGATTAGCAGTATTCATCGTGGCTCTCACCCTGGTGCGGTCCGAGCCTCCGGTAAATTCTTATTTACCGCCAGGTGGAGGTGGTCCTGGGGGTGGTAATGGCGGAGGACCATCAAACACTTACGGACCACCTGGTGGTCCCGGGGGTGGTAACGGCGGAGGTCCTTCGAACACTTACGGACCACCTGGATTCGATGGCCAGAATGGTATCGGTGGAGGTGGTGGTGCTCCCGGCGGTGGTTTATCGAACAGTTATGGAGCACCTGCTGGTGGAAATGGTTTTAACGGTGGTGGTTCTGGAAGACCTGGCTCGAACGGTGGACGAAACGGTGGGGGCAGAGGAAACGGATTCGGAGGTGGTCAACCTTCGAGCTCTTACGGGCCGCCATCCAGCGGATTCGGTGGAAACGGTGGTTCTGGTGGCGGAAGACCCTCGAGCACCTATGGAGCACCTGGTGGAGGAAACGGATTCGGCAATGGCGGAGGCAACGGTGGCGGCAAAAACGGATTTGGCGGTAGCCCGTCCAGCAGTTATGGCGCCCCGCAAAATGGAAACGGTTTCGGTGGTGGTAACGGAGGCGGTGGAGCTCCGTCCAGCCTCTACGGACCCCCGGGAAGAAACGGAAATGGGGGAAATGGAGGCAATGGCGGAGGACGACCATCGAGTAGCTACGGCACGCCTGACAGGAACGGCGGAAGACCTTCAGGACTTTACGGGCCACCTGGCAGAAATGGAAATAACGGTGGTGGAAATGGAGGATATAACGGTGGTAATGGTGGCAGTGGTGGTTTTGGACCGAGTGGAGGCAACGGAGGATATCCTTCCGGAGGTCCTGGAGGCAACGGAGGCTATCCCTCTGGAGGTTCTGGTGGAAACGGAGGCAACGGAGGCTATCCCTCTGGAGGTCCAGGTGGAAACGGAGGCAACGGTGGTTATCCCTCTGGAGGACCTGGTGGAAATGGAGGCTATCCTTCTGGAGGCCCTGGCGGAAACGGAGGCAACGGTGGTTATCCCTCTGGAGGACCTGGTGGAAACGGCGGCAATGGTGGAGGTTACGGAGAAAATGGACAGGATGAGAGTAACGTGAGTCTTTTACTCTCAAAAATTACCGTCAAATTTGACAGCTTACTTGTTGAAACATTCTTCTTCAATTATTTATTAAATTATATAAGATATTCCAATTATAGTTAGAATCTAAACTTTCTCTTGTAATTTTAAAATCAGTAACAGCTATGACCTGCAATATTGCTCATGCATGATCGATACTTGCTCGTAGCTTAATCTATTAAGGCTACCATTTGTAATCTTCTGTTGATTACACTTTTTAATATTGATACAGGAACCGGCGAAATATGAATTCTCATACGAGGTAAAAGACGACCAATCCGGCGCCGATTACGGCCATACCGAAAGCAGAGATGGAGACCGTGCTCAAGGAGAATTCAACGTGTTACTTCCCGATGGAAGGAAACAAATCGTTGAATACGAGGCTGATCAAGATGGGTTTAAGCCGCAAATTAGATACGAGGGTGAAGCAAATTCGCAGGGATATAGCTCTGGCGGCCCAGGAGGTAACGGAGGGGGTGATTTTGGTGGCAATGGATACCCGAGTGGTGGTCCTAACGGAGGTGGATCCGGTGGTAATGGATACCCAAGTGGTGGCCCTAATGGAGGTGGATCCGGCGGAAATGGTTACCCATCAGGAAGACCGGGTGGTGGACCTGATTTCAATGATGGTAAGATTTATTCTATTAAAGCAATTGCGACTTAACCACCAGAATGCTGATACTCTAACGATAAAATTTAAGTGTACTTTTTTTTTAATTCAATATTAAAATTTCTTCGGAGGGGAGTAAATCATAATCGTAGAGCTATAAACTGATCGTAAGTGTACTATGATATATTGCTCTGTTCTTAGGAGGATTCCCATCCGGAAGACCAGGTGGTAACAACGGTGGATACAGTAACGGAAACAACGGCGGCAACGGAAACGGAGGTTATCCATCCGGAAGTGGTGGCGATGCTGCGGCCAACGGAGGATACCAATACTAAATATTTATCTAGGTGTAGTGATATATATACATATCGCGTGTACTACGAAAAAAGGGAATACTTAGGGCAACGTTTATCATAACGCATAGGATAGTTTCTGTCTGGAACAGTAGAAATGCGAATGGAATTGCCAATGATATGAACAACCAGTACGATCGAACTTTCGGATCGACATCTAACATATATCATCGCTTTGGGACATTTTCAATTCAACGATCACGGAATGAGCAAAATGATAACTCGTTTAACTGTGAAAACAAACAAGTATTTAAGATGCAGTGCATCGTTTGTTTCAGACGTGGTATCCTTCCTTAGTGTAAACATATTAATTATTCATACGATAAACATAAAGACCTCACAGTTAATTCTTAGATGTAAACGATATTATTGAGTATTAATTGCATGCTGTACCGACATACTTGTTCACGGTACAACATGCATTGCAATAATACTAATCGTATCGTTTAATTGACCTAACGACAGGAGTGGATCTAGAAACCTTGCTTGGAAGGGAGGAGGTGATGAAATATATAAAAGTATATTTCTGCGTCTCTTTTGAAAAATTTGTTATACCTTGCTTATTAACATCTTTACTTATTATAAAACAAATTTTTAGTGATTAAGTAATTTATTTTATTAAAAAAGATAGAGAAAACATCAAAAGTATTAATATTTAATGTATTTAAAATACCAGCAAAAATTAATTTCTTCAACATTATAAATTTTGGAAAGGAGGTGATTCTCCCCCTTCTTCTGCTCTTACTTCTGGATCCACCGCTTCTTCGCGAACAAAAAGTCATTAATTTTTTTTTTTTTTTTTCAATTTTTTTTCAGCACATGTAACAAGGCTCATAAATCTTAACTTTCATATAAACCATTCGTAATCTTATTCATGTAATTTTCAAGTTCTTCGATAGAATGTTCAAATCAAGTGTCTCTCTTGACTTTCATCGATTAATTTACAACTTTATAAGCATACATCGTGTATACGCTAATTTTTTAACGTTTGTTAAGATACATTTTGTATTTATTACTATTTATCATACTATGTATATTTTAATGATGTTTGAAAATGTAGCTGTAGAAACGAACATCCGCATAAAATAAAAATTGCGGTAGGCCATAATGTGTTCAGTCTTTCACTCATACCTTTCACACGGTATAAATGCATTCTACACATTTATTATACCGACGAGTAAAAAGTGCAAATGATTGATCGAATGATTTTAAAAATGTCCGAAGAAAAAAGACAATAATGTTAGCTTTACTTTTATATTAATAGAGTACCATATTGTAAATGTATATTTGACGCTTACATATAATTTCTTTTTATATTTTAAAATTAAACTTAAAATTCACGATTCCGTTGCAATAGAACGAAAACAATTTAGAAAATATTGTATGTATTAAGTAATAAGAAATATCATAAAATAGATACATTTTTAAATTTCCAAATAAGTGACGTATGTGAGTGTGAAGCGACGTATTTCACTCACAATGAGGCTAAATCTTTGAAACAACATCTATCTGCAGTGCAATACCGACTAAGGACTAATGGATGTTAATGTAAAGATTAACATGAATTACAAAATATTTAAATATCTTTATTCTTTAAATTATTTGTTTATACAGCCAAATTGAAAAAAACAAATATTTCTCATATAATTTGTACAGAACTAAATTATTTGATTATCAAGTAACATTTGAATGTATTAAATCAGCTATAGCCTTCTGCCTAAGAGTATACAATTTCTTCACCCACTTATCAAATCTGATTTCTTGATCAAGCATTATCTAGATGAAATAAAAATATGAAACAATAAAATAAATGACACTATTATAATTTTTTCACATAAAAAATAGCAAATTGGTATACAATACCGATGAATGAAAAATACTCTCTGATCCACAAGGAATTTCAGCTACTGCTGGGACTTGTATAGTATCTGCACTAATGTCTATAACAATATTTTTGAATTTCTTTTCTTTTGTACTAGATGAAAACTGTTTAGGAGTAAAACCTTCAGAATTAATTTCATCTAACACGCCTTCCTTGAAACGTGGTTCAATTGGAAAATCATCTATAACAAATAATTTCACATTAAATTTGGAATTCATAAATAATACTATATATATTTTATTTTTGTACTTGCTTCTGTTTTTTTTTATATTTATTAATTAAAATCATTTTTAGTACTGTACCTTTTATTAATATGTTTTTGGTTTTGTCAGACACAGTAGCTTTTACATTAGACTGAGAACTACTTGAACGGCTTCCAGACTTTTCCCTGGAAGTAGATCTAACCTTCCTTTTTGAACGATCTGAAGAACGTGATCTGGAACGATACTTGTGTCTTTCTCTACCTTTTGAATTGCTGTTCCTTGAACTTTTGTAACTTTTCTGACTACGATCTCTATCTCTGCCCCTGCTTCGGGAATGGGACCTATGTCTACGTTTAGACTTTGAGTGTTTAGATGATCTTCTTCTATGAGGTGATGAGTCACTAGAATCTGAACTAGATGATCTAAAATATAAACATAATTTTAATACACCGCACTATGTATTAACACTTTTTATAATTCAGGATTTTATAATAATGATGACATCTTACCTAGATCTTCTGCTACGTCTCCTTCGATATCTACTATTATGGTCTGAATCGGATTCACTCGAGTATCTTGCCATAGCTGTCAATGACTTCTTTGTTTACTTTATGTTTAGGTTAAGCACAATATATACAGCAGGTGTAGAGTGCAGTCAAACGGAAATCTAGTTTTGTTAGGAAAAATGGCGTTCAAGACCTGTCGGCATTATCAAAATCGATAATTAATAAAATTATCGATAACAAATACTTATTTTTAAGAACAAACTGCTTTTTGTACATTTTAGATTATAGAAACATAAGTTTATATTTCTGCCGTTTTACAATTAACTGCTAAATGGCGCTAGTCGTACAATTTCAGCCTGTGCGCGCGAAAAAATTAATTTTAAAATATACATTAAAATCTTCCCCAGCGAAACTAGATTTGTATTTGAGCGTGTTGTGTAACACTATATTCATCTGTGTTATTTGTGTCTTGAAACATGAGAACATATACGATCTGTACTAGGGAATTAATTAATATATAAAGTAAGTGGTCTAACCTCAGTCTGTCCTTTACAAATAATATATTTATCAATACATAATATAAAAATGTTTTATTACGAATTAATTGCATTTTTTGAACATAAGAATTCTAAATAACACTTATTAACACTTTCTTTCCTTGTTTTATTTTTCAAACTACTTATGTACATTATAGAGCTGTATTTTCATGTACACTTTTATAATTAGTAGAATTACTAACAAAATTAACAATGCCTGTATTATTAATGTAAAAGTCCATGTCAAAAAAATATACAAACATTATGTTATTTTTATTTAATAATTACATTATATTAAAGAATTATATTTATATGCTACACAATTATGTTATGTGAATTATGACACAGAAATGGTTTGTACTTCTAATGCTGATACCCCTTTTTGTTTAATTGGCAGATAAACACCACCATATATTTGTAAACCAATCATTGTTATATTTGATGTATCTAAAGGCTCTGCATCAGGCACTTCTCTTCCTCGATAATATGGTTTAAAATTTGTCAGGGGTAATACCACAGTAGAGAAATCAGTATTTGACATTGGAGCCTAATATAATTTAACACATTATTTTTAATATAACTTTTTGAACAAATTAAACACTAAATTATATAAATTCAAGATTAAAATATATAAAATATGTTATTAACCAAATACAGATAATGTAATTAAAATTTACCGTAAAAAATTGTTCATATGTTACATTTCCATTTGTGTGAAGACCTTTGTGTTCAAGAACAATTTTGTAATTACTGTTTCTGCCTTGTCCTCTACAACAAATTTCAATATTTTCAAAACTAGATAAATCTAAATTAGTTATTGTTTCCACTCCTGCAAAGCCTGCACCATTTGGTTGTGGATTTAAAAGTGTAAAAAATATGGCATGCTGAAAAAGTTGAGTTGTTTGCAATGCCAAAACTGCTTTTGATTTTCCTACTGTTCTGACAGTATCCGATACTTCTTTCCAATTATCTACATTAGTTGCAGTTGTAAAATCAAAAAGTATTTCCTTGTGTCTAAACAAAACAAATATACTTTATTAAATTACATTTATAGAATAAGTCTAATTTTTATAAGTAATATTTTCATTTCTTGCTAAATCTACAGTGATATATCAGGTGGGCAAAACTGATGAAACATCCTGTACATAAAAATTGTATGAAAACATTTCATAATCAGTTTTCATAGTGACAGTATTTTCAGGCAGCATCTTACTTGTGCCTATTTAAAAAATATTGTTCCTCTTCACAATTGAGATTTTTAACTTTTTATACATTATTTGTAGCTTATAAAGCTTAGTATAGTTACTGAAACTTACGAAGTATTACTTGTTTGTGTAGTGTAATTTAATGATGGGTACAGGTTATAATAAACGCGTACAAAAGACGCAATCAAAAATTGTATTGTTAACATTATTTCAGATTAACCATGTCATTAGTCATCAGTATTACTGACATTGTGTTCTCCTTCTATTTGTAACATATAGTGCGCACTGATTGTATTTTTTTTAAAAGCGAATATTATGTGAAGTCCATATTCGTTTAAAAATGATAATAATACCAAATGAATGCATACAATTATAAATAAATATTTCCTCCGTTACAAATTTATTTTAAAAAACTTGTATTAAATCGTAAATTTGCAACATAAATAAGTATGAAACAAAAAATTATAATCGGAAAACATTTTTTTGATTTTAGCAATGGTAAAATATACATACAACATTTATGTTTGGCTAGGTACATGAATTGCATAATGTATTATTTTTACGTGTATCTATTGTACATATAGTATTATTGCAGCATATTGCAGCAAAGGGTTAATTCACTATATATTTTAAGTTAACTGCAATTATGTATATGACAATAACTTCCACTAGCATTTGGTTTAATATTTAAATTTGTATATATATTAACTATTTTATTTTGTCAGTTAATATTAATTGTATGAGTATTATGTTATTATTATTTTTATGCTGTAGACAGATTGAAACAAATATGTATTATAAACACCATAATTGATTTAAAAACGTAATATCATTTAAATATTACTTATGAAATGCTTTTATTATGACATTAAACAGTTTATTAATTGATTATGTAATTAAAAAAATTATTAGAACTGCGCATATTTCGCGAAACAAATAAAGTGCATGAAAATATATATTTTTATGAATACACTTTTATAGATACTTTCCTACATACCAAAAATAAAAATGTATTAGTTATTATGTCACTCTGATAAAAGCTATCTCACCCTTTTATTAGATGACATGTCATTATGATTAAAAAAATACCATAAATATATTGCAAACTCATTATTACACAAGATTAATTGAATTTAATTTATACGTAAACTATTAATACTTTGAATTTGTACAGAATAAAACTGATAACGTTCGATACGTATCGAATTTAAATACTGTACTATCACGCGGAATGTTCCGGAACTACATTTATGATCTATATAATTGTCTACAAGTTAAGAATCAAAAAATAATTAAACTTAAATCCCCGAAATAATTTAGTAATCAATATTAAATTTCCGAAATTTATGTTAAAAGTCATAAAAATAATTATGAAAACGTGTAAAACTTAAAAAATAATATTTAGATATATTTATTTTCATATTGAGTTATGCATACAAAATATGAAAACTTTTAATGGTAAATATTTAAAATTTGAATATACTAAATCGAAAAATTTGCTTCTTTTTCATTTTACACATTAAATTGCTTTTCAGTGGTTTGAATTTTATTTATATAGACTTTATGATACATATATAATAAGACAACAATTACTTTTAAACAATCTTAAAAGCTTTGGTCAAATTTAACTGAAGTAATTTTTTGCACTCCTAAAGTAAATGCAAAATATTTTTACAGTACACTGAATAAGATTTCAGTTTCATGAAATCGAAAATAATACACTGCTCGATAAATAAATTATGATCAGTTCACTTTTAATTAAATTGCCGTTATCAGTAACATATAAAACATCTATAAAATAAATTGAGATTACTGCCGAGAAAACAAATATTAACTATGTATGTAGAAATAATAACAAATTTTACAAGTGTCTTAAGTTTCTTTGTAATATTAAACATGAAAAGCAAATAATATTGTATGATGTTTAACTATACAAATCGGTATAATACTTTTGCTTAGTAATATCGGTTAACATAATATATTATGTTTAATTATACGTCTTATTAAAAGAATTGACAATTTAAAACATTTTCGGCATAATAGCAACAATAACAATGCATTAAATTCTGTCTTTACCAAAATAAGAACACTATCAAGTGAGTAATTATAATGAAAACTAAAATAATTTTCGAGCATGACATAAAATCTAGAATTTACTAATTTTTATATCCCGCGTGGTATAGTAATGAAGTTATAGTTTGAAATCACAGAACTGATCTCAATATTGTTTCATTGTCATTTTATGACAGTTTTGTTTGTTTTTTCGTTTTGTCGAGAAATTTGAGTCACTAACAATCTTTTGCGTTTAACCTTATAGTACATTAACTTTCAAATTGCAAATTAGATAACAAACGCGAACAAATATGTTCAATCTTGTTCCACGAATTTAATTTACAATAGTAAATACATATCTTACTTAACTGTGTCACATTCACATTTATCATATTTTCATGTGATTAAGTATATCTCGTGCAATGCACCTTGTACATGTGTACTATAAGATTTGTGAATATAACATATTGTCTAATATTTAATATTCTTACGCAACAGAATATACGACCTATGGAAAATATATTCGAATGACAATAATCATAAAAAAGCTTTAACATTAAAATATCAATCACAATGCCAATATTGAATGATTACCATCAGTATAATTTGTATGTATATATTTATACTGAATCATGTATTCGCATCTTATTCTTTGCAAATTAATTCTAAAAAAAGTCGATAACTTTTATTAAGTAGATTTGACTTATCAAAGGTAAAGGGATAAAGACAGGAGACTATTTGCTTGCTATACTTAGTATAAATCATATATGCATTAATAGTACCGAGGAATTCATGTTTCTATATACAAACAAATAAAGACCTAACAGGAGCAAGAATCTTTCCCGCCCTGTTGTTCATTAGATACTCCTTGAAGATTGGTACGACCTTGTTGACTGGGATTGTGTTGAACTCCAGATTCTGCTGCATTTAAATCCAAACTGCAAATAAATAGATTACAAAATTAAAGTTTCTAATGAAATTGTTTTCTTCTATATGTCAAATAAGAAGAATGTGTTCTACTAACCGGCCATCCTGTATGCTCTGGAATATTTTTTTTGCTGTTTCCAGAAAAGCTTCCTCTACATTATGTCCTCTGATAACCAAAGATTACATTTAAATATTAAACTCCGGTATTCCATTTAATTACCCTGTTATTAACTTACGTTTTTGCACTAGCTTCTACAAACATAAGACCATTTTCATCAGCAAATTGCTTTGCTTCTTCATAGGTAACATCTCGTTGACCTTCCAAGTCACTTTTGTTACCAATTAAAAATATAACCTGTAAATACAATACATAAAGCCTATTATTATTTACATGATATAAATGAATTGTTATTTATAATATAGAAGAAATACATCATTCAACAGTTCAGCATCAATGTAGTTACACTTTACAGACGTAAATACCATTAGGTAAAATATATTTTGCATACAGTGCTTGGATTTGTTAAATTCCTTGTATCTGTAAGCCAGCTGCTAAGATGATTATAAGTTGAACGACGAGTAATATCATAGACCATTAATGCTCCAGCTGCTCCTCGATAATAAGATCTGTAATGCGTACAGAAATATATGTAATATACTACTTACTTGAATATCACTATTTAATATTAACAGAAATATCTATACCTTGTAACTGCTCTGAAACGTTCCTGCCCTGCAGTGTCCCAAATTTGTAATTTTATTTTTTGGCCTGCCACTTCAATGATTCTTGTTCCAAACTCAACACCAATAGTATGTGGGCAATCTGCCATAACTAGAATGCAGTACAAGTTTATATACTACTTTAGGATAGAAACTTACATAAAACAATGTATCAGCAACAAAGTGACTTCTTTAGTTTTAACAAAGTTATTGAAATGAAACAAGTCCATTTTTCATTTAAAAATAACAATAGCATATAAATATTAATGTGGGTTCAATTTATTTAGAAATTTAATTATTTTTATATACTTCATTTATAAGTACATAGTATTGAAATATGTTTAACAATTCAACATAGCAACTTACATTTTTTTTCTGTAAACTGATGCAGTAAACATGATTTCCCTACACCCATATCTCCTATAATAATGTACTTAAAGATATAAGAGTAATTATACGGTCCAGTTGACATTTTGTTTCTGTAAGTAAATAGATAAATCATAAAATATTACATACTTCAAAAAATATGAAAACAATATGGTACACATAAATAAATAAAATGAATTATTTGGAATTTGTAAATTTAGATAGTACTTAAAAATATTTAATGACACAAAATACTTTATAAAAATGTGTATTTACAAAGACATTCTGGGTCTTATGATCAACATATGGTAATGTACATAATAGAATTTCTACATATCTCCATTTATTTAATGTATCAAAGAAATACAAAATTAATGTACAAATAATGTAAGGTATGTTAAAACTACAATTCATGACTGTTATATAAAGGTATATTTTATAATATCATGACTCAAGTGTGATTTAATAATTTATAAACAAGTTCAAACAATATTTAGGTAATAACAAAATCATTTCTTATTAATATGTTACTCAAAAGATTTGATTAAAACTGACATTTTGGATGCGAAAGTTATTTCATATATTGGATAAACAAATTTATTTGCAAGTTGTATATATTAGCTGCAGTTCATACAATTCACTGTACTTTACAAAAATATACATACAAATATAAAATCAAACAAAGCATTCAAAAAGATATTGATATTTTCATTTAAGTACTTTTTCAACAAAACATGTATAATAAAACAACAATCACTTAAATAACAATTATGTTACTGTCATTTAAAAGTGTTACAATAATTCGAAGTTATCATACAAGGATATATAACAAAAATTGGTAAATATAAAGGTTTAGAACATAATCTTCTGATGACAACTACTTCTTAAAAAAAGTTTCTGATGTCAACAATGCACCGTCTACTCACCGTCTTATAGCACACTATCAGGAAGTGTTTTTTTCACAAATTCAATTGTGGCAATTGCTTACAATTATTGTTACTACATAAACAATAAATGAACGTATTGAATGCACATATAATAACTGTAATAACGTAAGTGTATTACAATTCTTTATATCACGCGCAATATGGCAGATCACTGTCGCTAATAACGATGGCGGCGAATAAACGTCAAACCACCTGTCACTGATTTTTTATTTGTTCTATTCAATGATTCATATTCGTATATAAGAAATTTAATTTTAATAATACAATTTAACTACTCCTATAACTAAGAATAAACCCGTTGGCCGTAAATGCAACCTTTTTCAATGGATAACTTCGTATGTACGTCCATAGAAAGACGAATATGGATGAGTATCATTTGGTCAGAATTTTTTGTACATGCACTATATAATTTAGAATATATTTCAGAGTTATATAATTTTTCAATTAAACGATTCTTTATCTTTCGAGATGGTTTTTAAAAATCATTGTTTTTTTTAAAAAGCATGTGATACGTTATAGTTGTATTTATAGTAGCGCTTATCACCAACTACTTTCCTGTTTAATCAATCTGTTACAGTCACATAAACCAATGGTAATCAAATTCTACTGAAGTTAATGTTTTGATTGGTTTCCTTTTTTCTTTTAATTTATCTATTACATTGAATAAAAAACTTGATGTAAAAATATATAAGCAGTTTTTAAAATGGTATTTTAATTGTCCTACAACTTATATTTTAATTTCACAGGTTACATTTCCAATTTACTCTCCGCTTCACGAGAGAATGAAGTTCCTAAACGACGAGTTTGCGTTCTTTCAGCGCATGTTAATAAAGACATGTCTTAATAATCTATAATCTATGACGACACGCGTACACTCTTATGACAACCGTGACACCGAAACTATATACCCAGTGTATTTATTTTATTATATCCTTTTTATTTCCGTATCATCAATTTCTGCTGGTTTTTTATTTTGTCCCACCGTGTGTAAGACCATGAAGGTGGAATCATATTGTAGAAAGGCATCATACTCATAATTAGAAATCTCCCTAGTTTATCAACCTGCGCAAATTGAGTTCATTCTCTCGTTGAATGAAAAATTGTATACATCTGCTCTATGAGAAACTATATTCGTCACACAAGTTTTCATTCATTTGGAGCTTACTTTTAATTGATTTGATCATACTTTATAATGCACATGTATGTTTCTGATGTTTATGTTACCAAGCGTATATACCTAATAATGTTTCTATACTTTATTATCGTCAGTCTTTTTCTCTATTCAAGTACTTTTGCTCAATATGTCTATAATTAACGGGTTAATAATGGATAGATAGATAGGTAGATAAGGTAGATAGGTAGATATGGAAGATAGGTAGCTTCAAATAGGAGCAAGCGTACTAAACAAAGATGCGCGAAGGTGTGATCTTTCGTTGAATAAAATATACATAATTCCGCACGTTTCCAAATATACAGATATGAAGACAATTTAAAGTTATCATATCTCCATGCAATAAAACATTACATCACTATTATTGAAAATGTTTATATACTTTTTATGCAACAATTTCACATTACCCAATCATTGTAGAATGTAATTTTGACTTCCTTGTTTGTAACATTCTAAAAGTTTTCAAATTAAGAAATATTGTAATTCTTAAATTTCAAACTTCTTAATTTTCGCAGTTCCAAATTCGCAAATTTTGGAAAATTTTTTTAATCAGAATTGTACCTTTTTGCACTATTCCAGTATTTTTCCCACCGTATACATAAGTGGTAAACAGGAATGCATATGGTAGTGGGGAAACAGTAAATAGTTGAAAGACAATTAAAGTTAGCTACGTTGCACGAAGTAAGTATGATCTGACATGGAACGAATAATATGCATATGCTTCAATGTAGTTGTATTTGGAATATGCGCACTTTCGTAACTTTTGTATATGTGATTATGTACCTGTTCTTTTTTGGTTGAAGTTTATCTTTAACAATAACACATACAACGCCTTTTTTAGATTTAAAAGTTTTTGTAGTACTTAATGTAGTAATTTAATTTACTTATTACATGGTTTCTATAAATCATCGCTAAAATATAGTACAATTTTTTATTACGACTTGGGTCAGAAAATTGAATTCTGTATATGTTAACAGGTGAGTGTACATGTACATAACAATTAACCAAAGTTAATAACATGAATTAATCCTAAAAAAGAAGCTAATTAGTGCTAATTCCGGTAATATAATTTATAAAATTTTCTACTTCATTGAAAATATTTAAATATTTGTATACTTTTAACATTTTTTAATTTATTTTAAAAATTTCACATTTTGAACAACACTTGTTCTTAATTTCAAAAAATATTTATTACAAATACATGATGTTATGATAAAATATGATTGAAGATTCATCTTATTAAGAAAATTATACGTACAAATATACAATGATATAGTCTATATAATATTCCTATAAAAGTAGTAATTCTTATTGTTCAATTAAAAATATAAAAACTGTTAACGTTAACAATTTTGTGTATGATTTCGCTGTACATAACCCTCATACCTGCATTTATAGGTTAGAACTGATATTCGTTTCCAAATGTTGAATGATCAAACGATTTACGTTTTATATATTAAATCAAACTATGTTATTTAATCTGCTAAATAAATTCATTTCTAGGAGTTAAGATTGAATAGGAAGTTTACCTGTGTTATTGTAAATAACTATATTTAAATAGACATTAAATATTGTATTATGTAAGTTTGACATAAGTGAAATTAAATACTTTTGTCGTTATTCTATATATATGTATATATGATTCATAATAAAATTTGTTTTAGCATAATATCACAGATGCCATACATTTTGGTACGTGGTAATCTTGCTTCGTATGGTAATAAATATCCATGGAGGGTTTTAGTATCAGGTCTTAAAGGTATAGTTTCTTTTGACAGCTTAAGTGTTTACTAATATTTATTTTATATTGCCAACTGTATGCTACAATCATAATTTTTCTAAAGCTTATGCTTTTTATATTACATACCACGCATTATATAAAATCTTGTTAAACATTAATGTTAACACATTTAATTATAATTTGTATTTAAATTTACATGCATTAATTTTATATTACTTCATATATAGATGATTATATAAAGTAAAATTAATTTTCAAAAACTAGAACAGAATTGTATTTTTCTGAGCATTTATACTCTTATAGTTAAAAAAATTAATGTGTAAATTTTTATAAACATATGCATTCCAGCTTCATTTGCATTATAGTTAAGTATTATTTACTTTATTCACTTACACCTGTTCTTATGTTTCTATAAAAATATTTATATAAGGAATGCACATTGAATAGATATTGTTTCTTACACAGAATAATTTAATAAAGATATTTTTTGTTTATATAATTTAATATCCCAGCTGTGTTATTATAATGTGAAGTGTTGACTATTGCTAGTAATACTATTTAAATACATGTTGAAAGATCCACTGTATAATAAATATTCTTAAAATATGAATTTTAAAATGTATGTCATTATTTCAATTAATGCGTGTTAATTCTTCTGAATCATATTTGTACCTTTATTAGAAATTCGTAAAACGAAAAAATAATTGATTATAAAAATAATATATACTATAGCACAGAAATAGTGTTTAGTTTGTATTACAGTATGTAAATATAGATCTATTGTTTTTCAATTAATAATTAATATAAATTAAAAGTTTTTAATTTATTAATTTTATAGCAAAAAAATTTTGTTCGTGTACTGCTTTGTCTGAGTTGCAATATAATTGATGTTTCGTAAATTCAACTAATACGATATCTCGACTAACTCATCATCGTGATAAAGCGATAAACATTATCGCGCACGTTACAATTGAAAGAGGGTATAATATTTTCAGTAAAAATGTGAGATTTTTACAATTATTGTTATTTCGTAATATAACATAAATAAATCCTAGAATGAGGTGTAGAAATGTGTAATCTTATTCATTTGTGTTGTAGCATCAGAGATAGAACAACTAAGTCGTTTTGCTTCTGGGGGATATTGTGATGATTCGACAATAGTATATATGCAACATCCTTGTGTAATATTAACTGCTTTAGAGGTTCTTGGTTACAAAGTTGTGGCATCTTCAAGTACCGGTGTTAAACAAGATTATAATGAGTATATGTGGACTATGAGAAAAGATTTTTCTGAACCTGAACCTGAACCTGTTCTTAAGGCAGGTATGATATGATATCAATTAACCATTATTTTAAATAAATGGCCTTGTAATAAAAAAAATCAATATTGCGTCTATTTTTTTATTTTATATACGTAAGTTATAAATTCGATAAAATTTCGTGCTAACTGAAGGTCATATTCAACATAGGGGGAAAGAAAGTTATTAAATATGTATGTAAAAATACAAATTTTTAATATATATATATTTAGAGAATGTTTTTTGGATAAAAAATTTATTATTATTTATATTTTTTATTCACGATATAAAAAGAATTTTTATTCTCCTAAAACATAATTAAACGCATTACCATTAATTTATTGATTTGTTTATTTGTTTCAGTACTTTTTTTTTATTAGCACTTTCTGCACATAGTAATGTGTTTATCTTGATGTTTAGTATGCATATTATATCGCATATGTGAAACAGGTGTTATATGCAATTTCATGTCACAGTTGAGACTTATTCTATTACAGTATGTAAAATTTGAATGTGAAACGTAATTTGTGACGAATTATTAGAGAATTTGAAGTATTTGTTATTTTTATTACTTTTATAAAAACATTATGAATGTAGTTTTACAAAGGTTATGTTTGTAGTGATTGACGTTTTAATTTGAATACAGACGTGGCATCAACTATTCTGTTTACTTAACCAAATTAACCAATACTTTATCCAATAGTAGTGCGAATTATTCATTATTGGACGTAACATTTACATTCGACTTCCATTATTATATAAGTTAACATTAATCGTTTTTATTGACATTATAAACTTTTATCGATCTTCATTGAATGCAACGTGAACGTTCAATTATAAAATAAAATTAACGATTACAATTTTCTTTGAAAAATTTAATTTAATTGTGTTAAAAGAGAACATCACATTTTCAATTTATGAAGTTCAACTTATTTCTTTATTAATGAGTAAATATTGAGATATGTAATATCTACAAGTATCTTGCTTATTTTATAATGTTTCATTAAATTATATAATTATAATTTTGATGTTGCGCTAATAATCTATTATAATTGTAACTGATTTTAAAATTTTGTTAAATCTTATGTTCATAAAGTTACACAAATATTTTATTGGTTCTGTGCAAAGAAAACAATTGTATATATTGTATGTTATTGAAAGTCATATTTTTATCATAAAAAAAAAAGAAGTACTGTAAAATTATAAAAGTATACCATGGTAAAGAAACGGGGAATAGTGTGGAATTATTATAACAAAAAGATGGCAGGATCTCAAGTAATTGCATTTTGCAAGTTTTGTGATCAATCGTATATTCAAAATGCAACACGCATGGAACGACATATGGGAAGATGTTCAAAATGTCCTGAAGATGTTAAACAACAGTTTATACAAGTAGCACATAACAAGAAATATAAAAATAATAACAGTGTTAATAAAAGCAATAATCAATGGGCACAACAAGAATCTTCATTAGATCAAAACATGACTGATACAGAATTAGAAGATTTAGATGATTGGAATTGTAGAAATCAAACTTACTCAATTCAGTCAACTAATACAATGCAAGAAAATATGAATTTGGTTATGCAAAATAATGAACAAGATTGGGTAAATAGAGATAATGCACCTGAAAATAATGATACAGATACAAGTTCAGTCAGCAAAAATTGGGAGTCAAGTCAAAATGATACAGGAATTGTTACATCTGGTAATTTGAAAAATATTAGTTAAGAAATAGCTAATTTTCAATAAACTTATTCTTAGGCTAATACTAAAATGAATAGAACTATTACATACGGTATATTTGCAATGAAATTCTGAGTGTTTTTAAACATTTTATATAGCTGGATCTCAAGATCGGACAAATTCAGTTCATCAAAGAAAGTCATATAATCCCAGAAGAATATCACAGTGGCCAATTTCCTCTATGCAAACATTTGATTGTTCACCTTTCCAAAGTAAAATATGTCAAGAACAGTTATTAGAAAGACGAGCTTTAAGAAGAGCAGCAGAACTAGAAGTACGACGTAAAACATTGGAGTTAGAAAGATTTCAGTGGGAGTATGAAAGAGATAAAGTTCAGACTGAAGTTCGTTGGGCACATGAAACTCGTATGATGCAACTTAAAGAGGAACGAGAAAGGCAATTAATTGAACAAAGTAGAACTCAAACTGTTCCACACACTATGTAATTTTAAATAGTGACTTTTGTCTACTGTTAAGTAATACTTTAATATGTTTAAAAAGTAGACAATTTTTGTATTTTGGATTATGTTTAATTTTACAAAAATACACAAGTATGTGAAAAAAGAATGTAAGAAAACATACGAATTATTTAAAGTACTTTTAATTTACATGAAAAGCAACTAAAGTACATGAAAATATGTTACACTATGCTGTTAGGTAAACTTATTATTTTAGATATCAGATTATGTAGTACATATAAGTCTAAGTTTCATATTAGAAGCAGAATTTAAAACTAATTTCAAGTTTACATAAATATGTTAACACGAATTTACTTTTGACATCCAATACATATTTTTTATTATTTTTATAATTAAAGTTCGTAATAAAAGATATTCCAAATGATAGTTTACTATATTATTGCTTTAGAAATTGTCATTAAATATTTTTATATCGCTTACATACATGTATAATAACTTTTTCTTTTTCCTAATATAGTATACAGGAAATTTGTAAATGTTAATTTTTCAGAAAGATGATTTTGTATTTTTTTATGACAATATGTGCATTAGATATGTTTTTTGTTTTAACAGTGAAAGGCAACGAAGTTTAACAATCCTTTTAACTCAACAATGACGCAATCAGCGAATGCAGCGATCGGAAAATTAGCCAACGTAATAAGTGATGAAAATTACTATTACGTTGGTGTAAAAGCTTCTCCATTTGCAAATGATTGCGTTGTTTTTGGTTTGAATTCGGATGAAATTTCGGCTCTCTCCAAACGTTTTCCAAACTCTGGATCAGACGTGGTCAACGGCGTTATGATTAAAGGTTTCCATTCCCAATTTTTTATTACTCTGTACTTTTTGTATATTATATTATTACATATTTTACGTTATTCAATTTTCGTATTATGAGAAAAGTTCAAGCACTATTAACGTTTTAATATAATTTGAATATAATTCATAGAAAACATTTATTACAGGTCCACCATTTGCCATCATTAACGCCCTGGCAGAATTAGGATATAGAGTTATCTGTAGCACAGGAGAGGCTGAAATACTTTGGACGCTGCAGAGGGAATTATAAAGTCAATAGTTCTTTTCAGGTCTAAAATTAAGAAGTAAAACACACACATTCTTATAAACACATACGTTCAATACGAACAAAGTATTATATTATTTAACTACATATATATATACATATATATGAAGTTTTTGTGCAGGAACACACAAATGAGTGTGTTAAATTTTGTTACCGGATCTTGATGAGTATTTTTTAACTTCCTTTATCAATGCACATTTTTTATTGGTCGGATTAATATAAGTAAATTTCCAATAATGAATTTTACCATTTTGGTGTGTAAAATTCGTAAAAAGTATTTAATAGATTAGAGTTATGATCATATATTATTTTATATTTAAAATAAATTGTTTTTTCTTGCGATTTTCAGAATAACTAGGAAAGTACTAAGTTTTTCATTAATTGTTATTTTCTACACGTATACATATAATAATCAACGTTACGACACTAATAAGACTGTACGGGTACAATTTTCCAAATTTTCTACATGTTCCCTGATCAAAGATACTATGTTACACTTATTACTTTGTACCGTATCGTAAAATCGCATAAAAAGCAATTACTAGGTGGCTAGATTGTATACATAGAATTATGAGATGTGAGATATTTCTCAAAATAACTTATATTTTTAATAGATACATTTACTCCATACAGAATTAGAATCAGCAACCATTTGGGAGAAAAAGATACATCACATTATTTTTGTCTTTTATTCCGACATTTCATGTGTAAACAATGTTTTGGATCAAATTATATTACAAGTTATATTTTTGTTACCATCTATTTATAGTTTTTATGGTGATATATAAAATGTGCAGAATCAAAACTATTGTTAACTTTATGCAATGTGAAACAAATATTTCTATTGCGATTACCATTTACTACATTAATTATAAAGAAAATGCTTATTAGCGCAACATCGTGCTTTAGTACGAAGTAGATAGTGCAGCGATTATTGAAATGTTCTACTTAATGTAAAACAATCGAAATATAATAATAATAGTAATGCCCTGCAAAGGCCATTTGTACGTATGACGGCCTTATTTGCATATAGAAAATCGGTGTTCATACAAATTGTAAAATTATATACGTTTATTTTGTGTATACAAAATACACTTTTGCATATTATACTGTGAATTTCTTATGAAATATATAACTTATAACGATTTAAAAATATTTGTACATTTTCATTTATGACTACAATAACAGTATAATTAATATTTATATGCGCCACAAAACATATTTAAGTGTAACGTCTATTATGATTCATTAAAATAATAGGTAGACGAGGATTCTTCAAGCATTTATAGTTACACGTGCGATCAGCATGGAGCACAATCATGGTTGTAACGATCATTATGCATGCTGCAGTTCAAATAATAATTTCGATGTTCGTCAGTCACTTATGGAAATGGAATTTGAACGTGGTATATGGTATGCAGGTAAACAAACTTCAATTATTTATTATTTGTATATGTCTGAATTCTTTTTGTTCTGAAATTATCATTGAATAAAATCGCGTCATTTTCAGCACAGTATAATGATCTGGATCGCGTTGAAGCGTTGCTCAGAAAAGGTACACCTGTTAACGTGGAAGATTCTGCTGGGTACACAGCGTTACATTATGCAGCTCGGAACGGACATTATGAAATCTGTAAAACTTTGTTAGAAAACGGTGCAGCGGTGAATGCACAAACGCGTTGTGGACGCGCTACGCCTTTACATAGAGCAGCAATGCAAGGTCATGTTAATATTGTTGAACTTTTATTAAAGTCGGGTGCAGATCCTAATTTAAAAGATGCCGATGGTTGTACTGCTTTACATAAAGCGCTTATGGGATGTTCTATACCTGTTTGTAAGCTCCTGATACCGTGTACCGATTTAACATTGCATAATAACAACGAACAGAGCATACAACTATTAGTAAAGGAAAAATGTCCCGAAATTTTACCATTTATATTAGCTTGTACGAATAAAGATAATTAATAAAAAAAATTTAAGTTTGCTAAGATTTCTGAGTTTAAAATTTTATATATTTTTTTAAGTTTAATAACATGGATATATTTCAAAATTCGTGCATCTTAAAATTAGTAGAAAAAGAGCTAATAATATGCTACAATAAATGAGAATAATTATTGTAAGTATTATATTATGATTGTACCATGATTACTTGTAAAATTTTTTGAAAAATGATTATTTCAATTAATGATTGTATTTCAAAGAAATATTTTCAATAAAACATGAAGAATAAATTTGCAAATACTACTAGGTCTAGATGAACTGTCAATAGTTATTTCCAATAGGTTTTGCCTGCCATATAGCCAGCTTTAAAGAAGAAAATAATTAAAATATTTCGGTTTTCATCAATCCACCTTGCCAGTACCCTCAATAATATTGACAATACATATTGATTACCCGAGATGCGTATAAGAATTTTGTTTTAGATGTCTCATATCAGATTGTTTTACATAACGTTCTATGCAAAAAGGTGAGAAAAACAAATAATAATAGTAAGGAAGAATGTAAATTACTACTAGACGAAATACTAAAAGAATAAATGTGTAAATAACGTCGACGAACACTCATCGTCATTCGTATTTCCTTCCATGTGCTCGTCGGAACGGAGAGGGTCGTGCACTTGATATTGAATCGTTCGTGCGTGGTCGTACACATTCGGAATGATTCGGTAGTTATCGTCGAGGTTCGACAGTACTCGATGAGTTGCGGTACGTGAAGCGCAGTACGGCCGCCGGAGCCCCTTGTGATACACGGTGGTGCCACCTAGCGGAACACCTCCCGTCTTCTGTACGGCTGCAATCGTTGCATGGAGTCAGTCGTTTCACGAATACCGCGGGTGGTTTGCGCGAAGGCTCGCCGCCGCCTTTAACCGTTGTACGACGGATCGTCCGTCGTTTCGCGGCCCAAGGTTCGTCCGCGTGTCTTCGACCACCTTTCCCGCCTGGATTTTTGTGCGGTTTTACCCGTCGGATTTGAGTGACAATCGCAAGCGATGTAACCGTGCCCTGACGTCACACGGCTAATCAAGTGCACACACGAACACAAACACAGGCGCGC